GAAGGTTCGAGATGTGTCCTACATGGTTGGGGAGAAGGTTCTGTTAAAGGTTTTACCCATGAAGGGTGTTATGAGATTCGGGAAGAAAGGGAAATTGAGTCCTCGGTTCATTGAGCCTTTTGAGGTGCTTCGAAGGATTGGGGAGGTGGCTTATGAGCTTGCTTTGCCACCCAACTTGTCGAGTGTGCATCCAGTATTTCATGTTTCTATGCTCCGGAAGTATATTGGGGATCCGTCTCATGTTTTTGGATTTCAACACGGTTCAGTTGGATGATTTGACTTATGATGTGGAGCCAGTAGCTATTTTGGGTCGTCAGGTTCGAAAGTTGAAGTCAAAGGATATAGCTTCAGTGAAAGTGCAGTGGAGAGGTCGGCTCGTGGAGGAGACTACCTGGGAGACCGAGCGGGAGATGTGGAGTAGATATCCTCACCTGTTTGAGGCTTCAGGTATGTTTCTTAACTCGTTCGAGGACAAACATTTGTTTAATTTGGGGAGGATATGACGATCCGGACAGTCGTCTCATGAGTTACCGCTATGTTTTCCCTATTTCTGCTTCGTTATGCTTTGTTTATCCGTATTATGGGGTATCGGGTTGGTCGGATCGAGTTCAGAAAGGATTTAGTAAGGTTTGAGACATTGAGTCTCTTTAGAGTGAGTTTAAGTTAGAAAAGTCAACCAAATGTTGACTTATGTGTTAGAGGGCTCGGATATGAGTTCTGATCGTTAGGTTAGCTTTGGAAGGTGATTTGTGACTTAGGAGCGTGATCGAAATGAATTTTGAAGGTTTGTAGTGGATTTAGGCTTGAATTGGCGAAGTTGATATTTTGGCGATTTCCGGTTCGTAGGCGAGATTTTGACATAGGGGTCGGAATGGAATTCCGAGAGTTGCAGTAGTTCCGTTGTATCATTTGGGATGTGTGTGCAAAATTTCAGATCATTCGGACGTGGTTTGGTTGGGTTTTTGATCGAAAGCATAATTTAGAAGATTTTAGAAAGTTTGGCTTGAATCCGATGTTTTTTGGGTGATTTGATGTTTTTTGAGGTGTTTTGATGATTAGAACAAGTTTGAATAAGGTATTAGAATATGTTTGTACCTTTGGTTGAGGCCCCGAGGGCCTCAGGGTAATTTCGGATGGTTGACAGAGAGGTTTGAGACTTGTTGCAGCTGCTGAACTTTGCTGCTTCTGGTATTTCCGCACCTGCGGATTGGGGACCGCAGGTGCGAGAGAGGAACCACAGAAGCGGATTTTGAGAATTTGTCAGGGACCGCAGATGCGGTATGGGACCATACCTGCAGAGTCGCAAGTGCGGAAGACTGAGCACAGAAGCGGCTTGGGCTTTTAAGTGACGGACCACAGAAGCGGCGATTTGACCACATAAGCGGTGCTGCAGAAGCGGTGGGATGGTTGCAGATGCGAAAATCCCTGGACAGAAGGTATATATTGCTTTCTTCGTGAATTTTTGCAATGAACTCCATTTTTGAAGACGGGAAAGAGGCTAAGGCATCGGATCCCTAGAGGAATCAAAGGATATCGGTTGGGTAAGTTCCCTAAGCTTAATTAATTGGGTTAAGATCATTTTTCTAGTGTTAAATCATGGTTTTAGTGGAGATTAAGGGCTAAAAATGGAGGATTAAGGCTTGAGTTTAAGAGACTTTTAAAGGAGGATTTGAGGGGTCATTTGGACTCCGATTTTAGTGTTCTTGATATGCATAGACTCGTGAGGAGACAAAGAATCTGTTGATGTAAAAAAAATTTGAATTTTGAGATGTGGGCCCGGGGGTCGGATTTTGGTAATTTCGGGATTTTTGGTATTTTTCGATTGTTTTTGCTTGGGCTTCATTCCCTTGGCATATTTTGACGTCCTCGTTCTGATTTTGGATAGATTCGACGCGCGTGGAGGCCGATTCGATGGGCAAAGGCATTGCGGGGTAGTATTTTACTGGTTTGAGGTAAGTAACCATTGTAAATCTGGAACTGAGGGTACAAAACCCCGGTATTTGACTTGTCTTGATAAACGCGGTGACGCACATGCTAGGTGACGAACGTGTGGGTATGCACCGGTAAGGATTGTGGCTTGGTCCGTCCCGTAGCGACTATTAAGCCGCGTATTTGATTTGGAAACGTTATATTATTCCGTATTTTGGATGTTTATACTGTATTATAGGTCGTATGCCATGTTTGGGGCCTTGTGCCGACCTATAGAAACACTTAGGGGCATTTTGACTATTTTTCCTCACTATTACTTGCTAAAAACATATCCCCAGTCATGTCTTACCTGTTTAAATGTTTAAAACTGGTTTTATCTTTTCACTTCTAATTGTGAGGACTATTTGGGCTGAGTTCCCTAATTTCTATTTTTGTGCCCGAGAGGCTGTGAAGTTAATGACTGAGAGAGGTTGAGAACCTAATTGTGAGGATATGATATGTATATATTATGGATCGGGCTGCGCGCCGCAGCGATACTTATATGGATCGGGTTGCACGCCATAACGATATATATACTGGATCGGGCTGCACGCCGCAACGATATGTATATTGGATCGGGCTGCGCGCCGCAGCAATGTGACGCTTGGGCTGTAGGAGCCCCTTCGGAGTCTGTACACCCCTAGTGAGCGTAGTCGACTATAAATTACGGATTGGGCTGCTCGCCGCAGCGGTTACTATGATTTCTATTATTATGAGATACTCAAGAGCCGAGTGCTGAGAGTGAGTACTGTGTGACGAGAGGCTGCCCAAGGGGCCATATTCTGAGTGATTCCTTGCCCGAGAGGCCTTGTTATGATGTTTTCACTTATTTCACTCTTCTTTTAAATAAGCCTCCGTTTGATATACCGCTAAGTATTTGATTCCAAATGTTTAAACTAGAAATGTGATTTTTTAACGAAAATTGATTTTTAAATTGTAAAGATGACCTGATATTCTGTTGATTATCTAGTTATGTATTGTTGAACTGCTCGTCACTGCTTTCAGTCCTTATTTACTCTAGTTACTTACTGAGTTGGCGTACTCACATTACTCCCTGCACCTTGTGTGCAGATCCAGGTGCCCGAGCGGACGAGTGAGGGCTTGCAGCTGTTTCAGTATTTGACGGAGACTTCAAGGTAGCTGCATGGCGTCCGCAACCCTGTTCTCTCCCTCTTATCTTATTATCTTTCCGCATTTCCTAGACTATTGATGTATTAGGTATTCAAACTGGTATTAGAGGATCTAGACTCGTGACACCAGATTGTTAGGGCTGTGTAGTTGTTGTTATTTTGACCTTCCGCATATTTCTGTCGTTTTAACGCTTATAATGAATTTAATATTTAAAACCTGTGTTAGAAAATGGCTTAATTATTAAAAGAAAATGGGTAGTGGTTAGTTGATTGGTTGGCTTGCCTAGTAACGTGATAGGCGCCATCACGACCGATATTTGGGATCGTGACACTCCGAATAAACACTAAAATGATAGTCACAAGTCACAAGTAACTGTAACGGCATTTGAGAAAAGCAAGTCCGCAAAGATAGAGATAATATAGATTGGTGTTCAACAGACCCTATATGAAATCAATTCACTTTAGCATTAGAGGTTAGACCAAATTGAAGATATATAGTAGAAGAAAAATACCGCTAAAAGGCAAGGAGTTTAATTTTTATGGCATGAGATGAATTAGTTAAATTTATACCAGAATAATCATTCATATGAGAAGTTGGCAAAATGAAGATCTCTTTGAATTCTCTGTTTGTCGATGATGCCATGTATTGGAGCATTAACTCTAAAGGTTGCAACGGTTAAAGACTATTATTGAATGAAAAGGTTAGTTATTATACGATTGAACGGACACAACTATTCTAAAAATGAACACTTCAAATTAGTTTTATTCTTTTTAATTGAATATTATTATTAACTAATATTAAAATGGGTAAAAGATTCCATCATTTTTATGGGTATTTTTGTAATTTAATTTTAGGCTTAGAGGCTTCCCACTTTTAATATAGTATAGATAAATATAAATATAAATAGATAAAAATATTGGAATTTTTTTTTATGTAATGTCTCTTGTTACTCCACTGTTGCCTTAAAAATTTAGATTGAATACTTTGATTCTTTCATATGATATCAATGCCAAACTTTAGTGATTCTGTTGTCATATTTGTTTTTTTTATCTTCATGTTCAATTGCTATTGTCTCCTCCCTCTATCGGCCCACCCATAAAGTTGTTCTGAGCTCACTCTCTTTCTTTCAATCAAAATTCGATCAACTGAATCACTAACATTGCGTCGGGTATTATCATGTCAATCCTAATTTAGGGAGAAATTCAAAAATAGCCAGATTTATAACTGATCGTTCAAAAACAACCCAATTTCAAAAGTAATCGAAATTTAGTCATTTTTTATGTAAAGATAAATCTGAACGAAAATACTGTTCAAACCCCGGAAAATACGCCAGTATATTATACTGGAGTCCCAACATAAGTATGCTTGAACTCCAACATATTATACTGGAGTTCCAGGATAAGTATGCTGGAACTCCAGCATAATATGATGGAGTTCCAGCATAAGTACACTGGAACTCCAGCATAATATACTGGAGTTCCAGCAAGTATAATTGTCCAGTATAATATACTGGAGTTTCGAGCACCGGTGCTCTAGTCTCCATTATATTATACTGGAGTCAGCAAAGTTTACCGGTCCAGCATAATATGCTGGAGTTCATACACAGGTGCACCGAACTCCAGTATATTATGTTGGACCAGTCTCTGTTGCAGCAAAATAATGGCTATTTTTCATTAACTTTATAAACGCTGGTTATTTTTGAATGACCAGTCCGAAAACTGGCTATACCGTGCTATTTTTACCCTAATTTATCTACTCAAGGCCCAGAGCCTTCCCTCTCTACTTAAATAACGAAAAGGTCTTTTTAAAAAAAAAAAGAAGAAATACTAGGTCCACGTGTAACCTCTTCATTGGATTACACTATGGAAGGATGTCAGAGAATACACTTACCTCTCATCGGTTGTATAATGATTCTCAAAAAAGTTTATAATGACCTAGATCCCTTAACCATTGCCTTAAAATTTAAGGTCGGATGCTCTAAAAGTTTTAACCAAAGAGAAACATTCAAAGTTAATTAACCGAAAAGGAAGGAGTTCAAACCAAAACTTGTTTCTCGCCCTCACAAGACTGAATGGACTTTCTGACTTTCCATCAATGCCATTGTTGGTTCACTTCCTTCAGTCGGTGTTCCAGGAGCATAAGGTACAAAACCTCGTCCCCCGAAAACAGGACGCATGAATGTATTATCGAACTTTCTCCAGTAATAGTGCACTGTATAAGAAGGGGTACTTAAGAACATCCGCAAGCTGTTTGGACGGGGAAAATTGTGGGCTCCTAGATCGGCTTCCGAGTCTCGTCCATTGCCTAGAAGTGGCACATTAATGAAAGATTTTGGAGTCCCTGGTGAGGGTAGCAATAGTCTAATCAATGGTTTTGTCATCAAACCAAATACCTGCAAAGGCCAGAAATTTTTAAAAAATGATGATTAAGCTTCATATAGAAGTCCTCCAAAATGTCTCCTACTCATCCTTTGTTTTCCTCTAGTACTTTTCTTATCTGATTGATAAGATGAAATTACAGAAGACGTAATCACAACTCACAAGAAAGCTAAGATTTCTTACCACTGTGCTGAATAGGACAACTGTGATAGTACTTGTGATCATTATTGCATTGCCGCGCAACTGAGTATGACCTTCTTTAGTAAACTGAAATCATGAAAAGGAGTAACTCGGATAAATTTCTTGATATACAATCATGAAAAAGGAGTTACTCGGATATACAATGTAGAAAACAAACCTGTGCATTAGGTAATAAACTATAATAAAAAATAATCTACCTGATTATAAGCAAGGGCCATAGAAACGGCACCTCGCATAAGGCCAGCCCAGCATATTATGACCTGCAAAATCAGTGAAGGGATAACATGAGAAGCCAAACAATTAAGAGGTTCTAAGGGCAGAATATAATATTATTAGAGCAAAGTTCCTCATTTCATTTTATATGGTGATGTTTGATTGGGTAGGGAGTTTAAGAACGAAAGAAAAACTTTTGGCACATTTTTATAAAATTGTGGTATTAAACATGTCACGACATTTTTATAATTATAAGAGCATGTAATTAAAGGTAAAATGGAAAGTTTAGATTTAAAGAGTTTCAAGAATATAGAAAAGTGATATTATTTTCGAAACTGACTAAAAAGGAAGAGTGTCATATAAATGGTAAAATAAAACCTAGGGAGTATTATTAGGAGATATATACCTGCTGCTTGAAGTCAATCTTCTCATGTGGAGACTTCTTGGTCAAGTTGGATAGAAATGACAAGGGGAAAACAAAGGCTGCCCTTCCAACCAAGACAAGTCCCAATAGTATTGAGCTAACCTCAACTGATATTCCAGGGCTGGTAAACCAAAAAAGAAAAGATGTGCACAATCTTTCTATCACTCACTCACATAGGATCAATACAGTTATGCGGTTAAAAATGGACTTCAATAGATGTGAGAATTTACCTGTCGCTAACAAATCTCCACTTTTCAATGTCCAAAGCATCCATACCAACATAGAGGAATATGAAAATTTCAGCAACAAACGATAGCGTAGCAAAGGTGTGCCTAAACAATAGTTGAAGAGAGTACATCAGAGAAGCATTGATTATGTCTAGTCAATATGGTTTCAAAATTCTCTGTATGCATGTCATACTTGGTGGTGCATCTTGAGTTCTCAGTCACGTTATGCCAGGTGTAGTGGGACATCACAATCCCGCAAAAGAACACCGTGAGAATTGCGCTTAAATTGAATAACTGCAATCAAATAGTGACTGTCACTCCAAGTGTCAAAATGATTCAGTGTTGTCAGAAAGAGCGAGAAACATTAGCTCTGCTCCTAAGCTGGAACTACTTACTTCAGCAAGCATGTAAGATAGGTACGCCATGAGTATCATTATAGAAACTTCACGATCAGTGGAGTGCCTGAAGTTAATCAGAAAGTAAGTCATCAACTCCCAATATGCAAATTCTCAATCAATTATATATATAGTTGCAATTCCATACTGAAGAATGGATAAGAGGAATGTTTAGAGTTGGAAGAAATTATTTACTAACCTTCCAAAGCAGAGCTTCTTAATAATATAGGCACTCAATAGACCAGCCTGCAGCAGGGGAAGAAGTAAATGTTACTTGCTGCATTAATAACCAAAGTCGCGTGCATTTAAATAACAAGGAGAGAAACAGAAACTCACGACAAACCCCAGGAAGGTGCTTGAGATAAACAAGTATAGAAAGTTTCCAAGTAATTGCAGGGCAATGCTAGTGTTGATATGAGACAAGTCAAAGTTCTGGACAGCATTGAATAAAACTACAGATGTAGCATCATTTAAAACACCTTCCCCAAAGACTAAACTGTACAATAATGGCGTTTCGTCCTGATTAAGCACCTACATTATGCAATGGATAATGTCAGTAAGTTAAGTGCCTGATACTTGACCAGAGTCTCTATAGTGTTGACAAGCTATACTCACTTGTAAGGTGCAAACAGAATCTGTTGCAGAGAAGATTGCTCCAATTGCTGGAAATAACCAAGAATGGATAGAAATTATCAAACACATTTGTAGTATTTTTTTGTACATAAATAAGTGATTAGCAGGAACATGCAGCTCGAAGTACCAAGGTAATCTCCAATTTCAAGTTTCCCAATATTCATTTTCCTGAAAATTCCAATAGCACCTGACATGAAAATAAATGACATTAACAATGGCACTATCTAGAGCAAAAGAAAAGTGCTAGCGATTTCCACACAAGAAAAAACAAAGAAACGCAATAAGGATTACGGTGCCCACCTAATGATATGATTACAAAAGATATCAGAGTACCAAGTGCCCCAAAAAGTATGATAGTCATGAAATTGCGGAAGAATTGTTTCTTTTTCACCTGGAACCTGAGGAGAATAGATTAAGGTGGAGAAAAAGTTATGTTCATTGGAGTTCTACTGGACAAAATAAAAGAACTAGTTAAATGAAATAACCAGCAGATGCACTACAAAGATTTATTAAATAGTAATGAGTTTAGAGAAGATGAGAAGGGTTGCACTGTAATTAAAGAGAAATATTAATTACAACTAAGTATAAACTAGAATTTCCTAAATTGATGATCCCAATGAACCAAAACCTTAGAAACTCAGGCAAGCTCAAAAACAAAAAACAAAGTACAAAGCTTTCGATTAAATTAACTTAAACTTTTAGTTGACACACGTGACGTATATTTTTATATTTGATCCTCTTTCCTTTTTTAACATAATATTCTAAAAATAGATTTTCACTTTCACTTGTCACTTTTAGCATATAAAAAAAAACAATTTCTTTTTTCCTGTTATACCCATAGTATTAATTACTCATTTCAAATCATTTCTCAAATCCATTAAAAATATGCATCAATTAATATGGGTATCATGGTAAATTATACACTTCATTTATTATTTGTTTAGGGAAATGCAAAGTCCACAATAGACGAGTAAAAGTGAACGGAAGGACTTATCAAAAACGAAATTTAAAATTCAAAGTATTTAAACTTCTGATTTCACGTTAATGACATGTTTTTGTAGATTTCATTAATATCTCTTTATTTCTCTCTTGTAGCCTTTAAAATATCTCGGAAATTCTAAAACTACTTTTTATATGTTCCAAAAAATATTTCTTTCCTTCTTCAACCTCGTGTCTCGTCAAATACAGTAAAGGAGGGAGTAATAGAAATGGAAAACCTACCCAGCATTAAAAATGATCGGTGGAAGAAGATAAATAAAGAAAAGATCTGCGCTGAACATGAAAACATGCGAACTCTTCCCTCCACTTATTAGTAGAATCCAAACTCCCGTGCACAGGCCCTGTGATCCATAACAAATAACAAGCACAAATAGTGCCAATGACAGGTAAAGCTGATCATATCAGTTTCATCAAAAGGCGAAGATAACACGTAGTGATGATCGTCAGCAAATAATGGACTCACAATCGTAAGAGCAGTTATCGACTCATTCATCCAGCGGTTCTCCTCCAATAGATGACCAATCACGATACACGCGCACATAAGTGCAACAAATAAGTTTATTGACACCACAGACCCATGATCTAAGGTCCATAGCATCTTCAGCTTTTCCAGCAGCGCCCCGATGTCAGACCCCGCCATTGAATTCGTCAAAGAGGTACTTCAAAATCATTAATTAAAAAGTTTTTATCATTTCAGCAATTAGTTAACTCAACTTCCTTTTAAAAGACACCGAAATTCAGAATCCGATATAAAAATCAATCACACCAAGTATACCGGATATAGAAGGACAATTGAATGAGATGTAAGCAATTAATAACAATGTACCAATCAAAACAGCAGTAATGAGCAGAGATAGAGAAATGTTTCCGCTCAGAAAAAGAGCTGCTTCTTCAGACACCAATAGCAATTCACAGATTCAGAGACAAAAACTCTCTAAAACCAGCTGAAATTCAAGTTACAAAATCAAGGAATTCAAGCTCTCAATGGTAGATTCGAAATAGGAGACATGTTGAAGAAAATTCGACAATGATAATGAAAAAGAATAATCCTCAGGGCCGAGCCAGAAAGGACAGGAATTGAAAGGGAATATATATTTGGGTGGGATTAAGGAAACATATTTGAGTTTTAAATTTCCTCAGGGTGATCGTGACCGTTGAGGGATCAAAGTAGGTGCTGAGTTGGCACTTCTCCGTACGATTTTACGGGATCGAGGAAGAAGCTCCGGCTAACTCTATGACAGCAGTCACGGCAAATATAGGATTTTTTTTTTGGTCTTATAAATATAGGATAAATATATGCACACACAGTAAAACCCGCCAAAAATTAACGGATTTATTTCTATATAATTTTTTTTGTCTCGAATGTATTTAATATTTTTGCAATTCATTTGAAGTAAGTTACGACTATCATGCATAAAGTTATTCTTACAATTTTGTTGTTATGATATAAATCTTAGGACTAATATTTCCGGCTAACGGTGTGACAACAATTGCGACAAATGTTGTATATATGAAATAAATCAAGTCGAAAGAGGAACCCGCCAAAAACTAACGGATTTATTTTTATATTTTTCTCTTGTCTTGAATGCGTTTGATACTTTTGCAATTCATATAAAGTAAGTTATAACTATAATCTAAAAAGTTATTCTTACAATTTGTTGTTTTGATTTAAAACTAGGACTAATAGTTCCGACTAACTATGTGACAACAATTACGACAAATGTAGAATATATGCACAACAAATTAAGTTGAAAGAGAAACCCGCCAAAAACTAACTAGTTTTGTTTATATATTTTTCTCTTACCTTGAATGTGTTTGATACTTTCACAATTTATATTAAGTAAGTCATGACGACTAAAAAGTTATTCTTACAAGTTATTGTTTTGATATAAAACTAGGACTAATAGTTCGGGCTAACTTTGTGACAACAATTGCGACAAATGTAGAATATATGCATAACAAATCAAGTCGAAAGAGGAGCCCGCCAAAAACTAACGGAATTATTTTTATATTTTTCTCTTGTCTTGAATGTGCTTGTTATTTTTGCAATTCATATTAAGTAATTAAGTTATGACTCTAATCTAAAAAGGTATTCTTACAGTTTTGTTGTTTTGCCTTAAAACCTTAGAACTAAATATTTTTCATGCATCTTATTAATTAGGAACATTTGTTAAAGCTAAAGAGCTATTTATTTAGGCTTTTCTTGAAGAGAATATGGAGGAAAAGGAGGGTCCACCATCCGATTATTATGTCCCCGTTTTGTAATATTTGAAAGTAAAAATGTGTACTTATTAAATAGAAGTTTCGCCTTTTGTCTTCCACTAGTTATTGCACCTTTCTAGACACTGACTTATGAAGACGGGTTCTAAGACCACAAACCACTTAGGTGAAATATAAAGAATAATCCCGCTACATGTCTGTAACTGATCTGGATTTGAAACTTACCTTCTTGTTAATTCATTCAAAAGAAATAAAAGAAGTAAAGAAAAAGAAACTAAAGGATTCCATTATAATATGATGACAATGTCTAGTTTAACATAATATTTTACACCATCAAGTTGCCTTTTTCCTATTGTAACATGTAATATGTTTTATTTTCAAGATTATAAAATGCATATTCTATAAATGGTTATCTAAAACGAAAAAGAATAAAAAATATCTTTTAATTATGAGAAATAGAGCAAATTTGTCCTTATTTTGAATTTATCCTTATCATTAGCTGCCATTGTCATTCATTTTTTGTCAATATTCTATAAAATTTAAAGGTTTTTCTCTTTTGTTTTAAAGAATATTTACGTTTCTAGTTGAGCTAGCTTATTGTCAATTATATGCATACTGTTCTTCTCCTCTATATATATTTCAATATGATTGATAAAATACCATATCAAATGATACACTTAGTAAGTTTATCTTCACCACTACAATTGTTTGTTTTGGATGTTTGTTGAAATTTTATTTTAAATAAAAAGGAAGAACTAAAGAATATGGAGCGAAGAGAGGAGAGAAAAAATTGAAATTGGAGGAGAAAAATAAAGATGAGTTGTAATAGCTACGGGAGAGATAGAAAGAGAGAGAGGTCCAATGTTCTGCTCTTACTAAAGGAGGAGGAGAGAGAGGAGATGAGACATAAAAGGAAAAGACTGTAATGGAATTTCGTAATTGAAGGCACTAATAATGAGTTGAAAGTCTTTTAAGGAAAAATATAAAAATTATAAAGAAGGAATTTTTACCTTCCTATACTAAATATGAAATTTTATTACCTTCCATGATCAAGTTTTAACTTAATTACATGGGTATATACAATTTACCAATTATATACGACTTAGTTTTAAATGAGTATCTCTTTATATTAGGAATTGAATAGGTAATCCCCATCCCTGCACTCTCTCTCCCTTTCTCTTTCTCTCCTTCTCTAACGTTTTTCCCCAATTCTCTTCCTTCGTTTTTCTCTACTTTTCATCCCCTTTTCTAGGAAATTCATCGATGAATTTCAATTGTTATAATATAGAGTTTGAAGTTAGTAATTTCCTTTCATGTTGCACAATTGGCGTTCGAATTGAAATTGTCAATCAATAAATTTTGAAAATATTTGATTCTCCACCATTGACAGCTATTAAAAAGCTCCGAAACTTTGAATTCGAATTTGGGTTTCAAAAACTATTTTTTGTTTGAATTGGGTATTGTTGCAAACAATTAAAAATATTCTTTAGAGTTTATATCTCAATTATGAGGGTTTTTGGTGAAGATTAAACTTGATTTTGCCTGAATTTCATATTGAAACTAGAAGAAGAAGAAGAAGAAGAAGAAGAAGAAGAAGAAGAAGAAGAAGAAGAAGAAGAAGAAGAAGAAGAAGAAGAAGAAGAAGAAGAAGAAGAAGAAAATGACATATAATACAGTTACGAAATCGTATTAAAGTTGTATTATAGTTGTATGTAAATTATATTTAAATTGTATTATGTTGTAGTTATATATTTTTTATTTGAATATTACATGAAAGTTAAAAAATAGTTGTATAATGTATAAATCATTGTATGAAGTTTGTATTTAAGTTATACATACTATTTACATAAAGTTGTTGATATGTATCAAAATTGTATTAAGAAAGGAATTTTTGATTGAAATTTTTGAGAGGAAGAAGAATACACCGCATACAAAATATATACAAATCATATACAAAATACATACAAAAGACATTGTATAAAATTTGTATGAAAATCGTATTTAAGTTGTATGATGTTGTAGTTGTATTTAACTAGGTAAAGATGATGTATGAAAGTTGTAGATAGGTCATAAAAAAATTGTATATTAGTCGTATAAAGTCTGTTTTTAGTTTATATATCGTTATATATGTATTAAATGTGTATCAAAATTAAATAATTCGGCATTTAACTTATCTGGTTTAGATTCCAAATAAAGCATCGATAGCTTACTGAAAATTTCTTGTATAGTTTCGAAGGCATATGTACCCTCTAAATACAAATACATAGACGATAATCATAATGATTAATGTGGGTGAAAATTATTACGACCATGAGTTATGATCGTACTCTTGCATTAATTCATGGGAATAGTTTAGGATACAAGAATATTTCTGAGCATTTAAAATAAATTCTTTCGACTTTTTCTATGTTTCAGAAAAGCTAAACCGTATTTGTGATTTGTACCTTTCATTATCGTCCATACATAGAGGATGTGATTCTTAAATAATACTTTCCTTTTTTTCATTTTATATAAATACTACAGTTAAGGCACTATTGGAATGTCACGATCCAAATTTCTCTCCGTAACGTTGCGTGATAAATTGGTATCAGAGCTCTAGGTTCATAGGTGTTATGAGTCACAAGCAGGTTTAGTAGAGTCTTGCAGATTGGTACGGAGACGTCTGTACTTATCCTCAGGAGGCTATGAAACTTTTAGGAAAAATTTCACTTCTTTGATTCCTGATCGTGAGAACTTGTTGACTTCGGGATTCTAAACTTCTGTCTTTCTATTCCCTCACAGATGGTGAGGACACGTATAGCCGGATCAGATGACCAGACACCCATGCCCCCTACTGGAGTTGCCAGAGGCCAGGGATGGGGTAGAGGCCAATGATGTCCACGTGGTGTAGTTAGAGCACCCGCACGAGCTGCTATAGAGGATCCACCAATAGCTCCAGTTGTAGGGCAGGTACCTGAGATGTCTGTTACTGCACCAGCACTACAAGAGACTCTCGGCCAGTTTCTAAGCATGTTCAGCACCTTAACTCAGGCGGGATTGATACCACTTGCTCTCGCCACATCTCAGGCTGGGGGAAGAGCATAGACTCACGCCGCCCGTACCCCAGAACATCGAGTCTAGGACGACCAGGTTCCAGAGGTCATACTAGTGCAGCTGGTAGCCCTAGTTCGGCACGAGGCTAGGGCAACAGTTTCTGAGGACGAGTAGCTCAGGCTCGAGAGGTACAAGAAGTACCACCCTCCTACTTTTAGTGTCTTGGCTTTAGAGAATGCCTAGGGTTTTCTTGATGAGTGCCACCATATCCTCCGTACTATGGGTGTTGCAGAGTCTAATGGGGTTTACTTCACTATGTTCCAGCTCAGAGGAGCAGCCTATCAGCGGTGGCGAGCATATGAGTTGGATAGTTCAGTCGAGGTAGCTTCGCTCACTTGGACTCAGTTCTCGGATATGTTCTTGAGTGAGTATGTTCCAAAGAGTCTTAGAGATGCATGGCGCACAGAATTTGAGCAGTTGCTCCCGGGTTCTATGACCGTGTCGGAGTATGTGGTTTGGTTCAGTGATTTGG